TTATTTCAAGATTAATGCTTCATTATCTCCCAGCACAGATGAAGAGCGTGCACACATGGCTCATGTTCCATATGCAACTGCAGTTGGAAGTTTGATGTATGCAATGGTGTGTACAAGACCTGACATTTCACAAGCCGTTAATATGGTGAGCAGGTATATGCATAACCCAAGAAAAGGTCATTGGCAGGCAGTGAAGTGAATTCTACGGTACATCCAAGGTACTGTGGATGTTGGTTTAAAGTTTGAGCGGGATGATAGACTTGGTCAGCATTTGGTTGGTTATATAGATTCGGACTACGCTGGTGATTTGGATAAACGTCGATCAACTACAGGTTATGTGTTCACACTTGCTAGAGGACCGGTGAGTTGGAGGTCGACATTATAGCCTACAGTTGCTTTATCTACTACAAAGATAGAGTACATGGCAGTGACAGAGGCCATTAAAAAAGCCATATGGCTACATGGGTTGATTGAGGACTTGGGAATTATTCAGAAGCATGTTGATGTTTATTGCGACAGTCAAAGTGTTATTTGTTTAGCAAAGAATCAGGTTCATCATCCACGTACAAAACACATCGATGTTCGTTTCCATTTTGTTCGTGAGATTTTGGATAAAGGTGATATTCTCCTTCAGAAGATTGGGACTACAGATAATCCCGCAGATATGCTGACGAAGGTTGTAACGAAGGTCAAGTTTGAGTATTACTTAGACTTGCTTAACATCCTGCGAGTTTGAGCATCTTTTGTGCACATTTGAAAGCAGTTCAAGATCATGTTTGGAAATATTTCACTTCGGAAGATGTACATATTTTTCGCCAAGGTGGAAATTGTTGATAGCAGACGTGGGTTGGGAGACGTCAGACGTGGGTTTGCCACTACCCCTTATTACCACGTTTTATTGGCTCAAAGTATAGTGATTTAGGATACTCTGCCACTCTCGTTGTTTTGTCAGACATGGTCAGACGTGGGTCTGCGACGTGGGTTACTATTTTGGCAGACGTGGTCAAACGTGGGTCTGCGACATGGGTTACTATTTTGGCAGACGTTGTCAGACATGGGTCATCGACGTGGGTCTACCACCATCCTTGTTTTCAGCTCTCTACTATTGGCATTTCAGTTAAACTCATGCATCAGTTTTCCTATAAATAGAGAATGTTAGAAGACTTTATAAAATATCCAAGAATACACTGAATGAGCTTCAGTGAACGTTGAGTGTTATGAGCCTTTTGTAACCTTTTTGGGTTTTGATATTTCTAAACATTGATCTTGAGCTTCCGTGAATGTAAGCACATTGCCGAACCACGTAAATCATTATCTTCCCTGTGTGTGTTTTGTTCTTCTTTTATCTTTTGTTATTATTTGTTTCACGCTTCTACATAACACTAACCCAGACAAAAACATCCCAACACCAAGCAAACTCAAGACAACAATCTTAACAATAACCTAATGCTTTAAAAGGTGTCGGGTAGCCTGGCTGGCTAGCCCCTACAAGAGACGATGATAACATGGACTGAGATACACAAGATCATCATGAGGCGACTTTAGGGGCTGGAAATCGAGAAACCACATAACCCAATAATATGTACTGCCATTCACATCACACAAAGAAGCGTATGGGATATGCTTCACCACTCTAGCCACACATAACTAAAGGATTTTGAAAACCTCCACATGGGATAATAGTGTAATACCCCGATATTTTTAAAGGATTTATTAATTAGGATTAATTATTTTATTTTATTTTTCAATGATTTATTTTATTTTATTAAGTGCTAGATTAATTATCTTATTTTAATTAAGTTATATTTCATGATTATGTATGATGATTGATTGTTTGTGTGGTTGATTATTGATTGAATTATTGGTGTGTTGATTTTATTGGTATTGTGTGACTTAGTTGTAAATTATTGTTTGTTTATGAGGTTCATGTAATTAGTTATTTTAATTTCAGTATTTAATTAATTATCTTATTTATTTAAATTCATTGGATTGGGCTTAAGGAAAGTTGGACCAAAAGATGTGGTCTTGGGCTTGTATGAAACCTTATTGGGTTAATTAATGAAGGCCCGTGGTTATTTAATTATTTAAATGATCACTTTTGTATTAATTATAAATATATATATATATATATATAAAATTTTATATAAATATAATTAATTAATAATTGTTATGGAAAGATATATATAGATATATATTTATTGATATATATATGTATATATGATTTAATTAACTAATGGGTTAATTATGGAAGGAATGTATATTTTTATATATATATATATATATGTAATATAATATATGTTTATAAATATAAATTATTTAAAGGTTATTATTTTAATTCATAATACTATATGGAATAGGATTTGGAATTTAAGGTGTGTAAAAAATACACATAAGGCTTTAGGGTTAAAGGTTTTACACGTTAGAAAAATAAAAGAGACAGAAAGAGAGGAAGAAGAATGGCTGACAAGGAGGACGTCGGATCTGAAAAGGAGGACGTCGGAATTGGAAGAGCTAATTAAAACTTGAAGCGTCGGTTTCGTTTCGAAACCTTCAGGCGAGTTTTCTCTAATTTTTCTCTTAGAATTCATAAGGATTTCACCTTGAGTATCAAAGCTTTAATTAAATTTATTTGTTTAAAAATTATGGTTAGATCGGAATAATTAAAAAGGATAAACTATTATATTTGATTTTTTAGATTATTAGATTTTAATTGATATATATAGGTGTTATATGTATATTTTAAAATCAATCTATAGGTGGATTTGTGACCCAAGAGGGTTAATTATGGTTTCTTTATTTTCTAGAATTGTTCTGTAATTTTCTGGAATTTTTCTGATAATTTTAGGAATTTATTAGGATTTATTTTCCTATTATTTGTTAGGAAAATAATTATATATATATACTACGTAACTGGCGTATGTAGAGCGGCGGGACAATAAAGAATTGATCCAGCGCGGCGCGATGTAGGATAATAGTGTGTATACGCCAATTAGGGCCATTTGATTAATTAAACTTATGTGAATTGATATGGTGCATCGCGGCGCATAAAAGTTTGGTGCGCATGTGTATCTGGACCATAGAAGTGGTCTGGTCAACTATGGGATTATTTGGTGTATCGCAGACCATGAGAAGATGGTGCACTCGCTGATCTGGACCTTAAATCTATTATAGTTAATAGAAAATAATCCAATGTGAGCGTGTTCATTTGCGCACTGATTTGTGACCATTGGATGCGGCACAAAGGAAGTGATGGATTCAGTGTGGTGAGCTCACGGTAGCTGAAAGAGCTTAGCCAATACCAGCACACAAGGAGGCTTGAATCCAGTGCGTGCAAGTGCATAGTAAGCGCGTGGGCGCGCGTGGGAAACCATTGTTGGCCTGTTTCGACACTAGAAATTAAAACAGTTATAACTTAGTCATCTTAAATCGAAATTGGGTCATTCTTGAGCTCAAATTTAAAGATTTTTCATCCTCTTTCCAATGATACCAATTTCATTATCAGATTCCCATCCTACTATAAGATATTTACATTTTAGTGAAACGGTGTCTGAAAACTATTTAAACCGATATGGAGTATTTAGGGGAAACTATCTCTGACATATTAAGTAGCTTTAATTTGTGTAATATAGTAAATTAGTAATTGGTTATGGATGGATGATATATATATTTATTTATTTATTTATTTATATATTTGTATATATGGTTTATTTAATTTATGAGTTGTATGGATAGTTGTACATATATATATATATAATTATTGATATATATGTATATGTGATCTTAAATAATTATGGATTATTAAGGAAGGATTATACACATATATATTATAAAATATATGTGTATATATATGTAAATTAAGATATTTAGTGTTATTATTCTTACTTAGTATATATGGCTGGACTGGTTATTAAATTAATGATATGCGTATAATATGCATGAGATGGCTATGTATGATTTAGCGTATTGTTAATTTTAAAGTTAATTCATGGTTAAAATGTAGGCATGAATGAATTGTCAAAGGATTGAATATATTACCTAAATATTTGTATGAATAGAATACATATATGGAAAGTATGGATGAATTGCCAATTAAATGTATGAATAAATATACCTGTGGAGGCATGGTTGAATTGCCAATGTATAAATATACATATACGGAGGCATGGTTGAATTGCCAATGTATAAATAAATATACTTGTGGAAGCATGATTGAATTGCCAATATATAAATAAAAATATTTGTAATGGCATGGTTGATTTGCCAAAGCATAATTACATTGTTATGTGTTAGATGATTAAAATATCATCTATAGTTGTTGTATGTATAGATTGGATTAGGATTAGATATTTTTAAATGAGAATAGTTTAGTACTTACTAGTTAGTGTATTATTTTATATTAATAAAATAATATTGGGGAAGACATAGATGATTTGTCAAAGCTTGGATTTTGGATATGTGATTTGAATAATTAAAATCATTATCGGGTTGGGATTAAATAGAATATTTCTTTTTTTATAATTTATTGTTTAAATGATTAAACAACTGATTAGGATGGAATTCAGGTTAAAGGAGTTTCTTTTTTAAAAGAAATGGTGGATTGGTCTAGGTATAATTATTATTTTAATTATTGTTTAATAAGTTTGGAAATTTAATAAATCTCTTAGTGGATGTGATTAATGTAGTATATATAATTATTTATATATATGTATATCATGCTATATTAAAGTTAAATTCTTTATTAGGTTGGATTTTAATCAGAGATGATCTACTTATTGGTTTTTAGAGGTCTGGTAGAGAACTTGCTCGTAGGATTTAACCCACGATTTATTTTTCAGGTTATTAGAAGTTCCAATCTCGAGGTTGAAGATCCGCAGCTGAGAGACTGTTATTCATCTTTAAGTAGTATTGGATTATAGATAATGTTTTAAGGGATTCTTGGGTTATGGGATTCCCGAGTTGTAATTGTTGGAGAGTTATTAATTAATGAAAATTATTATTTATTAATTTTTCTTTAGCGTATTTTTGTTCGCGTACCCTTTACCCACCAATGGCATGCTATAGCTTCCATAATACACTTCCAAGACGTCATTACCACCCAAACATTGGAATACGACGCCGACCACTGGAACCGAGACACTGACCAACCCACAGGCATGGGAGAGAAAGCACATCGGCCGCAGTGCACCTTTTTGTGGAAAATCCCGATCTGCATCGTCCTCCATATGCATCTCCATATACGACTTAAACTAAAAACATAAAACCAAGACACAACACTCAGAAAATTCCCCATCAACGATCTTTGTAAAAGACCCACTAAAAGATCCAATAACAGAATACATCACTAACGGCCAGCAAATTGACCAACCCAGTAACGATCTATTCCCAGGAGAAAAATAGTAAAATTACAGGGCAAGTGGAGCACAATAAAACTTGATGGTTATCAAAATCGCGATTCTGAGTCGTAGAATCACACGATTCTACGACTCAGAATTCAAAATCGAGTCAAATCGCAGCAGAATCGTTCAATTGGTAGAATCGGGGGTAGAATCGGTAGAATCGGAGGTAGAATCGTAGAATCGGAGGTAGAATCGTACGAGTCTACACGATTCTACCGATTCTATAAAATTGGTTGTTTGGGCCTTCAATTTTGGGCTTTTTTTTTATTTTTTGGTTGGTTTGGCTACAAAATAAAAGAGGTCTGGCCCAAGTATAGTATACAAAGTTAAATATTTATTCTATAAAATATAAATTATTTTTCATTAGTGGCAAAAAAAGATATATATATATATATATATATATATGTATATATATCAATTATTTTTACCATGCATGTGGATGTTCCATAATATATTTTTGTGTTTAATTATAAAAAATTAAAATGATCAATTATATCTCAAGGATGCATACTCGTGACTAACAGGTTTAGGCAAATTTTAGTTTCATGATCAATATTTTCATTTGACTAATTTTTTTTTTTTTTTTTTTTTTTGAAGGCTTATCATATATATTAAAAATTAAAAATAATTTAAAAACTTAAAAGACTTGCCGGATATGTCAGCCAAGGTATAATCTTGTAGTCTAAACTGATAATATAATGAGATCGAGTTAACACGTGGTCCATTAATTTTGTTGTGCTAACTCTTGATTAATTTCGTACTTGTGACTAATAAGGTCACATATATCGTAACACTTGGATTGGTGGACAAAAAGGTCTTTTTATTTCTTCACTTTTTGAAGGAAAAAAAAAAAAAAAAAAGAAGTTAGTCACTTTTTGGAGATGGATGAATAAAGATTTGAGATTTGTAAACTCATATTATTTTGAACTACATTCTCTTTTATTTATATTCGGATTTTAAAATATTGTTAGGATTTGAGATTTGTGAACTCATGGATATATAATATTATGTGTTGTGGCCTCATTTTTGTTATATTTTATGGATCTTATTGTTTAAGAAGCTAGTTTCAATTATTTTTTCACAATTTCGTAGAATCTTACGATTCACGATCCGATTCTACGATTCCAATTATACGGAGCCCAACACGATTCTGTGTAGAATCCCGATTTTAACAACCTTGGTATCAAGACAAGCTATAGACCCCAAAAGAAAGACAACAAAGAAAATCCCAACACAGAGAGCGTCAAAGAGGCAGATAAACGAAGAGCAATCAACGGCTTAATGCTCCACCAGATCCATAGAAAGATAAGAAATTTACCTAAAACTAAACGGAACCGGGAATAGCCACAAACAGGGAAGGTCAAGACACACAAAAACACAGAGAGATTAGAGAGAACAGGAGACAACTGGCAACAAACTACCAAGAAACACCAAATACAAAGAACACCTCTGATTAGACATAGCACTCTGATACACAGAGACCCCCTACACCGAGAGGGAACACTTGAAATGAATACCTAATGAAAAAATTACAAATACTGACTTGTAATTAATTAAAATTATATTTGTTATTTAAGAAAAAAATAATTATATTTATTGCAATTTTGTGGGACCCACTATACACATGAATGAACTTAGAAAAAAAAAAGGGTAACAAAAGAAGAAAGAACTGGCGAAGCAACAACCAAAGAACAAACAGCAGAAAACATGCCACAACAACTGCTAACATCAGAAAGCAAGCAATTCTAGCCTCATGAATGCAAAAACACCACTTATTGATATAATATCGGAGAGTGCTCTTGAAAATAGATTCAAGAACACAATCTATACATTTATTTCTAGATTTGCACAATGTGTTAGGTCTTTAAGTACTGCTATTGCAAAGGACTGTTCCATTGATCACTTTGTGGGTTCAGATGCAGAGTACCTGAAGCAGCAACCCATACTCTTTCACTTAATTCATTGGTGTTCTTAGTAGAATGGACGCTCACTTTGCTTACCGAAAATGCCAGGACCATATGTTGAAGAGATCACATCCACTAGTAAGGGGAATTGTAAGGAAACAAACAAGGTGACTGGTAAGCAGGCTAATGCAGCCACTGGAATAAGAATCCATCCTTTTTTGTGGCCAAACACAAGATAAAGTGTGGCACCGAAGGTTATCATCATGGATGTTATAGAGAGGAACAAGGTAACAAGACCGATTATCAATCTTTTGGGTAGACTGTAGAGAAAATCCTGTTCTGCATAGCGTGATGTGAGGATAGACAAGAACATTAACAACGAAGCTGTGGATGTGAATAGAGAGATTGCATCTGAGACTGCAAAGATTATGAAGCCAATTTCTTTGGAAAAATTTGGGAGGCCATCTGCATTGTTGCCGCCTGGCACAGTAATGGCCGCTGCAAATACTATAGTGGCAATGAGTGCTGCTGCAATTGTGCATGAATTTGCTGTGTCTTTCATCCACTTTTCACCTTCTATTACCAAGTCCTTGTGCTCCTCACTAAATACCATTGCTGGAGTTTTTTTTGCATCGTTTTCTATTTCATTGTAGGCAGGGATTACAAAGTTTCTCACTTCCTGTGATAACCATATATAACTTCAAAACAATTGGCAACTTCGCTCTGTTCCTTATACGAAGTATAATTTTAAATTTTGAAAAATACTTCTGTTATACAATCCAACTAAAAGAATTTGGGGGTGTGAATGTTATTTTTTAGGATAGAAGTTTCATGCAAAAAATGAAGAGTAAATGCTCTCCATATTTTAGTACTGGATTCGCAGTTGTATTAAAGAATTCATTTGGCTTTTTCAAAGGCTCCAAAAAATAGTATCAATCCATCTATTAAATATGGAGAGTTCATGATTCTTGTCACTATAGAACTCTCTTAATAGCATTATTCAAAACAGAACCACCATTAATAATCTTTGGAACAAGAGAAATAAGTTTGCTACCTCAAACCATTGTAACTCACGCTGCATCTGCAAAGCTGCACCAGAAACAAGATTGAGTTGATGTGCAGGTGCCAATTTTCCAGCCAAGTGCAATATAGTGTTACCGGATTTGTCCCTAAAGTGCGTCATGTATTGCTTTTGCTGTCCCATCTGATATATGAGGTTGAAAACATTTTGATTACGTGTTGTAACTGCAATTTGAAATATGTAACGGTGATCTGCATCAGAGCACCAAACTGAATCAGGAAATGTATCCACAAGCTCTTCTAAAACCTCAGGAATACCCATCCTTGCTGCCTCAAGGAGTGGTTCTGCAAGAAAGGGCTTGATTTCCTTGTAATCACTAAATGAATATATTCCTTTGCACAAGCATTTGACAAGTTGAAGAGCTTGATGATGCCTCAATTTTTTATCTCGGATGTCTTTGATATGCAGTACTGTAATTTAGATATTAAACAAAAGATGTCACAGGTTTCAATTGAAACTATGTAAACTTAAATGGAAAGTTGCTTTCTCTTACCTAATTCCATGATGTTGGAAAGAAGGAAGTGCAATTTTTGGCATACTGTACCAGAAAACAAACAGGTTGAATAAGTTGAAAGGAAAACGCCAGATTCACGGAGTAGCATGTATGAATAATTGGCTTATTGCTAATCAATTGATTATAATTGCCTATATGTATAGTAGTCAAGTTAGCTAGACAAATTTAGCTTTTGGGCATTTAATTAAACAGAAATTTATGACAAACCAGAGATGAAGAAGTTTCCTCTACCACTCATTTGAAGAAACACTTGACAGTTGTCTGCTGGATTCTCAATATCACCAGAATTTGGGTTGTTAGGAGGGTAGTTCTCCAACTTCACAGGAACACCTTCAAGAAAAAATGTTTAGAAAATTAACACAGTATGAACTCACTTCTACTTTTAATCAAATTTGTATGGTTTTCTGGCATAAATAATCCCTTCATTACTAAGCTCCATGTATCTAGCTTATTTTGATCATATGGCATCAAATATGTATTTGTAAATTGATTCACTTTCTTCTTGTTCATAAAAGAAAGTTTGAGAAAAAATTGAGCCTGGAGAAATCAACAAACGAGAATAGATGAAACGCTGCCACAAGTTGAGGCGACATCCACTTGGGAATGCAGATGCCTTTCTAGCTATTGCTTTCAGAGGATAGTCACCATTTTCAAGTTTCAATGTAACCAAATTAGGGTGGCGATGAGCCAAATCCAGTGCCACGTCTGTAAAAGTACAAATACCCAATCATGAGATCATGTCTAATCAAATCGATTGATTTCTTGATTGTTTATTTTAGCATATTACGTATTTTTGACAATATATGATCTAAAGAAAATGTACTAGCTTGAAGAGAAGCTTACTGACCAAAGAGTCCAGAAGCTATAACATGAACCAGAAGCTGAACACCAGATTGGTCTGCATATGGACTGGGATGGTGATGACCTTTTGTTGCTGTCATTAAATATAAAAGTGTTTCCTTGTGAGCATACAAAGCAGCCAAGTGGACTGGAAACAAACCAATGTTGTTCTTCATTTGAAGCAAAGCTGGGTTTTTGTCCACCAATATAATTGCAGCTTCTGTGTTGCCAAACCTGGCTGCAACACTGAGGGCTGTCTCGTTTTGGCGATTTTGTAGAGCAAGTGCCTCCCTTGGCATTAGTTCTACCAACTTCTCCACAAAATGAATTGCTTTACCTGTCCCAACTGCTCTGTGAAGTAGTGTTTCATTGTTTGCAGTGATATAGGCTGTCACTGCATCTTCATCTTCGGCCAACATTTTTTTCGCGCTCTCCCAGTCTCCTTTCATTGCAGCTCTGTATACTGGCAAGTACCTTCTTAGATCCTCCTCCTCTGCTGCTGCTTTTGGTTCTGCATGTGTGTGCGTGCATTCATAATACATAAAAATGGATGACCAAATTTCAGTTCTAATTTAATTATGTTATTGCAACAAACACTGATTCGATCACCTCTGGTTAGAGTACTTCCAGTGTCAATCAGAAAAAGATGAAAACTAAATATAATGCACCAATAAATACATTATACAAGCAATTCAGGTGAAATAGTACTATGATGTTCTCAAATTAAAGCTGATAAACAGAAAACGTTCTAGTTTTAGGATGTAGGGGTATGTCAACAACTTACCAGATTGGCCACTGCCCAAGTTACTGATGGTATGAGGCGTTTCTTTTGAGATGGAAGATGATGATGCCATTCTAGTTCGCAAGTGATGATTAATCACTACTACTGGGTATGTTGAAGGAATATGTATATACTGCGTGCTGATACAAAGCGAGAGAGGATCTCCTCGGGAATCTAGTAAACAAAACAGTACCATTCGAGGTCAATGATACAGAGCCCAATGCAGATGCACCAAGCCCAACACAAACTCCATGTTTGACTCCGTGGTGCACTCAAAGCACCGGTTTTTGGTGCACAGATCCCCTCCGCAAGGGAGGGGATTGGGATCAGAAACGTGCCCTTGTTTGATGTGGGAATTTGATAATATGAAGCGCTCGGCTACATACCGACAAACTTTCTTGTCCCATAGAGAGAATGAAATATGTTATCAATCAGAATCACCATTCACCAAGCAAAGATAGAAAGGGAACGCACATGTAAACACACACACACACACACACACACACACACACATATATATAGATGTTATGTAAATAAGTAAGGGAAAGTAAGCAAGTTCCATGTATATAATACTACATATATTCATGTAAACCAAACTGTTTTTCTGGAATCAAATTCCAATGTCTGTTAGATAACTTTTAAAGAGAACACAGTAAGAAAAGTACTAAATATGAAGGGGGAAAAAATTGCTTTAGAAAGAGTTGAGGATTAGGCGAACTAAAGCAGACCATATTGACTGTAAATGGAGATAAACTAGTGGTCATTTATGTGATAAAAAAACAACACATAGGAACTGATGACTTGACTTTTATACATCCAAATGAACCAATCAACAACTGAATTGATATTTAAGTGAAAGGTCCATCGCTTGTGTGTGTGTGTATATATATATATATACATATCAAAAGGTCTAGAAAACTAGGAGGAAACGACTTGAACGACTTTGTAATTTAAGCTGTTTTTCGTCTCAAGAAAATGGTGAATGTATTTTATTTATTTTTATATTCATTAATTAGCAACTTGCTTACACATCTCAATAGTGTTATTAATTTGAAACATGGCAAATTGATCCATGGCATTAGTGTAGACCACTTACATTATGCAATCAAATATTATCTTCTTCAGTCTATGCCAATTAATTAATGTTGGTCAAATGCTCTCCAGAATGGTACTTGTAAGTTTCAAATTTAGTCAAACAGTCGACTAATCAAAGTGTCTGATATGAGTAAGAACTGACATCAAGCAGTGACGAGACTAACAGCCCCCACATTACATAAAGTAGTTGTCCAACTCCGTATCATGACTCTAATAATAATTAAAGATTAGTAGTGCTGCTTAACCAAAGAAAAGGGAAGAAGATAATTTCGTTGAGAGAGCAAAACCATGGTGCCCTAGTTCTACTTTTGCATCTTTATCTTAAATTACTTTTATTCATTCAAATTTTTAGCAAAACTTTATGAGAAGAAAAAAAAAATAGTTAAACAACATACATGATTTATGAAAAAGGAAAAATAGAGATTACATCAGTTACAGAACTTTGTTGGATTTTGATAGAGAAAACAGGCAACAGCAACTTCTACGTACAGCAGAAAGCAGTTTTAGCCAGAATGGAGTGAGTGCAGAAACACCAATTGTGGGTTCAGATGCAGAGTACCTGAAGCTGCAACCAAAACTCCTTCACCTTAATTCTTTGGTGTTCTTAGAAGAATGGACGCTCACTTTGCCTACCGAAAATGCTAGGACCAAATGTCGAAGAGATCACATCAGGCTAATGCAGCCCCTGGAATAAGAATCCATCCTTTTTTGTGGCCAAACACAAGATAGAGCGTGGCACTGAAGATTATCATCATCCATGTTATTGAGAGGAACAAGGTAACAAGACCGATTATCAAACTTTTTCGTAGACTATAGAGAAAATCCAGTTCTGCATAGCGTGATGTGAGGATGGAGCCAATATTTTTAGAAAAAATTGGGAAGCCATCTGCATTGTTGCCGCCTGGTCCACTAATAGCCGCTGCAAATACTATAGTGGCAATGAGTGCTGCTGCAATTGTGCATGAATTTGCTGTGTCTTTCGTCCATTTCTCTCCTTCTATTACCAAGTTCTTGTGTTCTTCACTAAATATCATTGCTGGAGTTTTTTTAGCGCTGTTTTCTCTTTCGATGTAGGCAGGGATTACAAACTTCTCCACTTCCTGTATGATAGCCAAAACTTTAAAACAATGGACAACTTTGATCTGTTTCTTAAATGAAGTGGAATGTTAAATTTTAAAAATTATGTACTTTTTATACAATTCAACTAAAAAAAATTGGATGTGTAAATGATTTTGGTATAAAAGTTTCATGCAAAAAACAAAACCACCATAAAAAAATTTGTGAAACAAGAGAAATAGGTTTTTTACCTTAAACCATTGTAATTCACGCTGCATCTGCAAAGCTGCACCAGAAACAAGATTGAGTTTATGTGGAGGTGCCAACTTTCCAGCCAAGTGCAATATAGTGTTATTGGATTTGTCTCTAAATTGTGTTATGTACTGCTTTTGCCCACCAATATGATAAATGAGGTTGAAAACATTTTCATTACGGTTTATAACTGCAATTTGAAATGTGTAACGTTGATTTGCATCACAGGACCAAACTGAATTGGGATTTGTGCCCACAAGTTCTTGTAAAACCTCATGAATACCCAGCCTTGCTGCCTCAGGGAATGAACTTGTGACGAATTCCCAGACAACATTGTAATCACCGAATGAATAGTATCCTTTGCACAAGCATTTGACAAGTTCAAGAGCTTGATGATGCCTCAACTTTTTCTCTCGGATGTGCTTGATATGCGGTACTGCAATTTAGACAGTAAATAAAGGATGTCACAGATTTCTATTGAAACTATGTGCACTTAAATGAAAACTTTCTCTCACCTAATGCAATGACTTTGGCAAGTAGGACATGCAATTTGTGGCGTACTGTACCAGAAAACAAAGTGGTTGAATAGTTTGAGAGGAAAATGCCAAATTCATGGACTGGCACATACGAAATTAAAATTGGCTTGTTGCTAATCAATTAATTTAAATTGCCTGCATATATGGCATGCAATAAAACTAGGTATATAGATAAACTTAAATTTTTGGGCATTTTATCACACATTTGATTAAACAGAAATTTATGACAAACCAGAGATGAAGAAGTTTTTTCTGCCACTCATCTGCGTAAGAACTTGGCAGTTGTCTGCTGGATTCTCAATGTCACCAGCATTTGGGTTGTTAGGATAGTTCTCCAACTTCATAGGAACACCTTCAAGACAAAATGTATTTATAGAAAATTAATTGAATATACACCTTTAACTTCTTATTAAGAAAATGAATGTAATTATGACACCATTCTGCAAATTGATTCACAGTAGTATTCTTCTTGTTCATTAAAGAAATGAATTCTTGTTCATTAAAGAAATGAATTATATAGAAAAGAAGAAAGAATTGATACGAGAATAGATGAAACGCTGCCAAAAGTTGAGGCGACATCCACATGGGAATGCAGATTGCTTTCTAGCAATTGCTTTCAGAGGATATTCACCATTATCAAGTTTCATGAATGTAGCCAAGTTAGGGTGGCGTTGAATCAAATCCAGAGCCCCGTCTGTAAAAGTACAATAAATTACCCAATCATCAGATCAGATCATATCATATCAAGTACTGATTGATTTCTTGATTTTTTATCTTAGTATATAACATTTGATCTGTTGGCAATGATTATATGTGTGTGTGTATATGATCTAAATTAGAAATAGTTCTACTATGTACTAACTAGCTAGAAGAGAATTAATTAATTAAGATAGCTTACTGACCTATAAATCCAGAATCTATTAAATGAACCAGAAGGCGAACACCTGCATATTGGCCTGCATACGGAGTGGGACGGTGATGCTCTATGGATGCCTTCGTTAACTATAAAAGTGTTTCCTTGTGGTCATACAAAGCAGCCAAGTGGACTGGAAACAAACCCTGGGTGGTCTTCATTTGAAGCAAAGATGGGTTTTTGTCCACCAATATCATTGCAGCTTTAGTGTTGCCAGACCTCGCTGTGACGCTGAGGGCTGTCTCGCCTTGTCCATTTTGTAGAGCAAGTGCCTCCCTTGGCATTAGTTCTATCAACTTCTCCACAAAAATAATTGATTTACCTCTCCCAACTGCTCTGTGGAGTAGTGTTTCTTTGTTTGTACTGAAACAGGCTGTGAATGCATCTTCATCTTCGGCCAACATTCACAATTTTTTCGCACTCTCCCAGTCGCCTTTCATTGTAGCTTTGTACACTGGCAAGTACCTTCTTAAATCTAATTCATTTCATGTAGGTACAAATCACAATTAATTAGATCATTTATGTTGGAAATAGAGGGAAAAAAATATATATTCAAGAGAAGAACAATCACACGAGTAACATACTTGATTTACGTGGTTTGGCAAAACCGTTTTGGCTACGTTTACAAAGCTTAACATAAATTTCACTATCAAGTATCAATGTTAATTGACTATATGGCACACTAGGGTTTATACAAGACCTAGTATTTATAGCATTATCTGTTTACAAGCCGTTGAGCCAATCGGATTTGATTGAGTTTCAACTGCAAGTCTGCAAGCTTCATCTGTTTCCGTAAGAAGGCAAGGAAATCACTTTTTCCTTTTTTAAATCATTGTGAAAAGATATACTCTTCTTCTGCTTCTCAAAGGCAATATATAGTTTTCCTATATGATGATGATATTGATGTCCAATTCATGCTGGCTCACTCTGCCCGTAGGGTAGTGAAAACCTTTAACACTGTCCGTTCTAAGAACAATAATATACTCATGCTCCTCTCTCACGCCTTAAGCGAATCCATGCTCTGATGACACTCGGTAATGGGTGCCCCACTAACCTCTTCTTACCAACAAAACAAAACTCGTCCCCAGTGCCCCATAGTATGATGTCTAGGCACCACCTTGGACTATGCCCGTAAACTGTTCGACATAATGCAGCACCGACATGTTTTCCTTTGGAACACCTTGATCTGTGATTATGCCGATTTGGGTCCATGCCAAGAAGCCATACTTCTTTACAGAAACATGCATCAGACTGGGCTCTTACCCAATAACCATACTTTCCCTTTTGTGGTTCAGTGTTGTGCAGTGCTATAGGCTTTACGAGAAGGGAAGGAAGTGCATTGTAATATAATTAAGAATGGGTTTAATTTAGATGTGTTTGGATAGACTTCTTTGGTTACAATGTATGCACAGAGCGGGAAGACTTTGAATTCCGAACAAGTCTTCAGTGGAATGGTTCTGAGGAACATAGTTTCTTGGACTGCACTGATTGCCACTTATGAACAAAATAATATTGACAGAAGTGCATTTAAACTCTTCCATAGGTTGCAAAATGAAAAGTTAGAATTTGATAATTTCACAATGGTCAGTGTTATACTCCGTATCTGCTTATCCTAGTTCAGGAGCATTCAACACTGGCAAATGGGTACATAAGCTTGTAAGAGACAAATATTTGAAGCCAATGTTTCAATCGCAAATGCACTAATTGATATGTTTGCAAAGTGTGGAAACATAGACTTGGCCATGCATGTTTTTGATAGGTTGCCTCGTAGAAGCATTATGTCTTCGACTTCTATTATTGGGGCTTGTGCCTCTCACAGGCATTCAGAAGATGTTCTGAAGCTTTTCTCAGAGATTGAAGGAGTTAGACCAAATAGCTTCACCTTCACTGCTGTTTTGACTGCTTATAGGCATTTAGAGCTATTGTACCAGTTAGACCCTCAAACTGTCACTTTCTATGTCCTTACGGCAAATAATCTATTATGCTGAAGGTGGTAGGTGGGAAGATGTAGCAAGAACATGTGTCCAGAGTGTCCATGAAGCATCGATGTTCAACACAAACATGACACCTTCGTAGAAATGTTCGTGCTTCTTAGATGGTGGTTGTTAAAACAAACACCGCAAAACCACGAAAGTATAAAAAGTAAACACGCGCCACACAAGACGCAAAGATTTACGTAGTTCGGCATATTTTCAAGACCCACAAACCTCTCTCTCTCTCTCTCTCTGTTCTCTCACACACCACAAACCTTAACACCCTTATATATTGAGTTAACACCCTTATATATTGAGTTGGGGTTTACAACCAAGGTTCACAACCTGCAAAACAAAACAGGTGAAAAACCCAATTTTTGGGCCAAAACACGACCCGAGCCAAAACAAAACGGGTCACAATTGCATGAATTCTTGATCCTTTTCTATAAAAGTCATGCGGTGCCTATTCATTAGTAGTATAGGACTTGCATTGTCTTCATTCCAAAGAACCAATAATAGGGGGGAAACAACAGGTCATTTAACCTTTACACATAAAAACAGGGCATTTAAAAGGAAGTGATGTATATTAAGGAGTATTTTACACTGATCAGAGGAGGACTGAAATACATGAGTACATGAGTTGGTGGCTAGCATTAATTAATTAATTGAGATAGCAATGAATAACTGGTTATTTTATTTTGCAACGACCCTTAAACTGATACCATTTATAAAAAAAAATTTGACATGATTTTCGCTAAAAGGAGTCCTACGACAACTTGCTTAAATGCATAAAAATGTAAATAATACATTCCAGCATCCCTTTCATCCATTCATCAGGCCTCAACATGGTTCATCTCACAGTGGAGCATCCACATATCATTCAATCCAAATATCGTGATTACTGTCCCAACAATACATGGTTAAAATCTAAAATCCATGTCTTACAACGTTTAGACCACTTATAATAAAATTACAGCCCATAAATATAATTACAATAACAAGAGTTCACAAACCTCTATACCAAATATAACAAACTAAGATTTTACAAAAAATATGGGACTTAAATACAAAAATAGCAAAACGATTTTCTAATCCAATTTAAGCCTGTGGTGGAACGTCATCCGCCACTTCTTTCCCGTTTCCTGAAAAAAAAAAATGTTAAATAAAAAGGGGTGAGCAAAATTGCTCGGTAAGTGGTGCCTAAGACACACCTCTTGCGTCCCCGTGAATCCAAATAAGGAATAGGGCAATAGAAATCGGGGTCATACTATGTCGGGAAAGTACAACATTAAAACTAATCTCAGCATACACAATATGATGCTATGGAATGCAATACATGCCGATGTCGCTCCCCAGTTTCAACACTCAAATCCATCACTTTCAAACTGTTAATATAACCCACCCTTTGGTGACCCCGCAGCGACACGAGAGAAGGATTAGCTAGTGTCCCTGACCCTTGGTACCCCCGCAACGTCATTTTGGGCCCAACTAGCTCAACCACGCTAAGGCAATCTCCCTAATTCCCTCTAAGCTATATTAACACACCAGACCTTTGGTAACCCCGTGGGGACCGAGTTTTCTCAAAACCATTTTAATCAAAACTTCTTCCCAAAATTTCCCTTTTTCATTTCAAATCACATTAATCCCATTTCATACCCAATGCAGTGCATGGATGCATTATGCCATGTCCAAGTTTATTGTTCCATAACTAACTCAAACTTAATTAATATTACATGATTCACAAGAATTTTCAAGTAAAACTACAACATGTTTTCATACAATCGAGATCTAGTATGATAGGCATATAAAAATCAACATTTAAGCATGCTCTTCACATGGGTCAATTAATACACATAACTACACATCAACGTATATACAACAACCAAGTAATTTGCTAGATTTTACACAAATTAGTCATGCTAGACAACAATTCATAAAGGATTATGAACTTTATACATTACAACACAATTATTCTAGGATAATTATCATCAATTGGATAAATTAACAACAATTACATGAAATTAACTCACAAAGAAACAAGAAAATGTGAGTTAGAGACCCCTACCTCTAAATAGATGAAAAGCCCCAATTTTCACCTCAAACCCTCAAAATGGGTCTCAATTTTCAGACTTCCTAGAATGGCCAAAAGTTAAAATTGCTGGTATGGATTTCGAGACCTCGTCGTGGGCTTCAATTTGTCGCAAACGGCACTTAAAAATACTAAGAAATGAGGGAGAAATCAAGGTGCAAGGATTTGTGGCCAAAGAAAAAGAAAAAAAATCCAGAGAAAGAGGGTGTGATACCCCTCAGATCTAGAGTCGCGGGTGATCAAGTCTGATCACAGATCCGAGGGATACCAAATAATTAAGTATATAAACAAGCATAGAGTACAAGAAAGATAAAGAATAAATAAATAAAATGAAAGGAAAAAATAATAATAATAATAATCATAACTCCTTAAAAGACTTATTAAATAATCCTCCAAATGACAAGATCCAAAAATATCTGATATCATTACAACTCGGGAATCCATTATGTGCACCCCTAACCATAAACAACTGAAATTAAATACTGAAATAACAATGACATCTAAACTAAAACATAAGGAAGACTCCTACATCAGATCGGAAGAGTGATGATAGACTATCTCTGCTCAGTACGAACAACCTTAAAGACTGGAACTATCGAACACCTGAAAAAATAATAGTGGTTCAGACCCACGAACAAGTTCTAATCTACTACATCCTAAACAGAGACCCGATATACGTATACATCCTAGTCAATCCAACAGTAACTAGTAGTCCGTATATATATATATAAATACACACTAAAGGAACCTCACTAGACTCTAGGGTTGCCTCAACCTGAATAGTAGGCATCACGCAAAACGCACATATAGTGGGCATGAATACCTAGACCTACCAGGGCACACAATTACACTATATCTAACTACTCATCCCTGGCGATATACGCGCCCTAACCACTGATCCTGAGACTCAAGCTCATACCATGACACCATAATTATATATATATAATCCATCATATCCAACTATAATTAATCCTCTATAAGTCATTCAACTTGTTTCGTTGACCTGACTTGAATATAAGTAGAACTTAATATTTTAGTTAATCAATTCCCTTATACAAAATAGGTGGGACTTAACTGATAAGTTAATCCATCCCTAAAATGTCACCATCTCATACTGGTGCATTTCATCACACAATTCACAATTGATGAAAAAATATATATATATAATATCACATCAATTAAATACAGAGATGAGCATAATATAAATCAGTCATGTATATAATCATAATATACTACAACTACATGATTAAATCATATACACACCATATTAAATTGCTAAATTAAATCTAAGCAATTATCCTCTCTATTAACAACATGCAACTCCATTTAAAATTTCATATTG